TTCCTTCTTTCCTAGCCATTCTTCCCTTTTGAACTTGGTTTTCAGGCATATGCTGCCCTGATGATTGCGAATGCTTGATTACTCTAAGGCAGGCGTCCTCAAACTACGGCCCACAGGCCACATGCGGCCCGCCGAGGACATTTATCCGGCCCGCCGGGTGTTCTTGCCCCGTTTGTTTTTTTACTGCAAAATAAGATATGTGCGGTATGCATAGGAATTTTGTTCATGGGGTTTTTTTTAACTATAGTCCGGCCCTCCAATGGGTCTGAGGGACAGTGCCCTGGCCCCCTGTTGGAAAAGTTTGAGGACCCCTGCTAATGAATACCTCCCAATGTTATATTGTTTACCTTACAGACCCTCATATTGTTTGACTGAAAATTTAGCCATAGGAGTGAATTCAGCACCTGAATTCCAGGCCATAGTCTCAGGAGTTCCACCAGTCTGTAAACAACTAGTAAATCTGGTCTTTTTTATGATTTCAGTTTTAGTCCACATTTTCCTCCCATTCTGTCCAGTACTTCAATCCTTTCCTGGGAGGGTATAGTACTGATAACTTGGTATCTGGATTTGGGAATGTATCCTCAGAGAACTTTGTGCCAGATTTGACTGAAAAGGACAAAATTGTATGCATTTATACAAGGCCCTATAGCAAATTAGTAGCTATAAAGTTAATAGCAATAAGATGTCTACATACCTTGTTATTTTACATCCTTCTAAAACTACAAGATGAAATGAGCTTTTGCTATTTGAGGTTCAAACACTTTTCAATAACAGAAACCTATTTCAATTGACTGACCTTTATTAAAATAGCATATACAATTCTTACAATCCTACAAAGAAGATATAATTATCCCAATTTTTCACAGATACTGAGTTAAGAAAGGTTAAGCATCTTATCCCAAATCACAAGTGGTAGACCCAGAGTAGAGTCTAAATCTGCCTGATTACGAAGTACACAATGTTTGAAGCATACTAGGCAATGCTAAATTTGGTGAAGCCCTGGTTGGGGGTGAGGGGGGTCGTGGTAGAACTCTTGCCTTCCAAGAAGAATATCCAGTTTATTTTATGAACCATGCACCTCGTGTGCAATCACCATTCATCGGCCAGTGGAGTGCCTTTATGTTGCTTTTATGTTGCTAAGATACCAAGCACGTTTCAGCAGAACTTTCCAACCAGGGCTAAAAAGAAAGGCCTGGCACTTTAGTTTCAAAACCCAAGCAATGAAAACCCCGTGGGTTACAACAGCCGGATTTGCAACTGGTCGTGAGAAGGCCTGGGGCCCAGCAATGCTTCTTCAGGCCACTGGGCCTGGTGTCTCCCTGAATCAGAAGCCAAGTGGGAGGCATCTCACAACACTAAATTCGCAGAGCATTGGATCATTTTCAAATCGGTTTTCTTTGGTGTGCTCTGTTTATGACACACAGCATGGGAGAGTTTGGGGGCAAAAATTAGATGACATTAGAGTTGCTGATCATGCCATCAAACCAAAATATGCATGATAAATTTAAATATTATGGCAACATTGACTGACAGGCTCTGCACCGTGAATGAAGACCACCAACCCCAGCACCACTACTCTAGAGTTGCTTTTCTCTCCGTGTTCTGGTTCTCGGTCTACTTAATCATATCGCAAATATAAAAATACATCTAAGGAGCAATTTTAAATGTGCTTTGACGGAACCAGTTCTTTTCCAAATGGATATGCAAATTCACAAATTGATCAACTTTCAACTGTGGTTGCCTTAGCAAAACGTATCTATGATTTGTACTTTTTTTTTTTTTTGAACGTTAATAACCTACCCCAAAGTGGCTCTCCCTCTAGGTGTTTTTGTTGCTGAAATAGCCATCCACTGATACTCCATGGCAGGCTTGTGCACAGGAACCTACCAAGCTCACAGGTTGAATTTAATCAAATAAAGACACAGTTTTCCTCCCAAGCTTTTATTATAAATTAAACTACAACCAAAGCCATAATTTTGAGACTGCAAAAATAACCTCATTCAAAATAAAACACCAGCAGAGAGTATTTTGGAGTAGATCCATCTGTCTTAGATTTCCAAGTCCTGGGGAAAAAACAAACTCCGTGGGATGTATAGATTATTTCTGCAGCAGACCTGGCTTAGGAATCCCAGGGATGTCAGGGAAAGGTGGTAGTGAGATGAAAGCGTGCATCTACTGAGCAGTTTCCTTGAGTGGCCTAGATTACTGGAACGGGAGACAGCCACAGACTCATGTAGCACTGCTCAGACTGGGGTGGAGGTGGTTTGTAATACCCTTGGCAACTTGAAACTTTCAGATTTCAACAATGGCACCCACTGATTACAAAGTTTTCAGTCAAGTAATCACAGTGATTTATCATTTTCTGTGAACGTGTTTACAGCTTCTAAGCAGGCTACCTTACTCATACGGAAAGAAGGGAAAAAAATGCAGCCTTCACTTACCCTGCCTCAAAAATAATAAAAAAGGGTTTGTAGAGGTGAAATAAAACATATGTATTCATCATCTCCTTCCATCCTAAATCATTAGCTTACAATCATTGTCATTCTGCCTAGTCCTTGTGCCGGGTAGGCCTTATTTCTTTTTCTCTATTTCGGTATCCTCCACGGAGATGCCGACACAGTTCTGAGAACAATGTTTCCATGCTGCCTTGTTTCATTGGTTCACCCGACTCTAGGTCATCCTTTATGTTCACATTGTTTATTATTCTGAACTAGTCTTTTGACACGTTCGCTCATCTTAACAGCATCCGTTTTGTTGAAATCCAGACGTCACTGCCAAGATGAGCTTTCTTCTTTGCTACTTTGATGACATGGTTCTGTATTTTGATACATAAATACATTAGTTCCTGGTAGGAACCTTAGTTCCCAGTAGGAAACTTCTCCCATTTTAAGAGTCACCAATAGCATCAGTCTCATTCAAACCTTAGCTTCTAAACACTTATAAACCTACTTTATTATTCACAAACTTTCCATTTTCCATTAGGTGCTACTCTCTTAATGTCCTGTTTCTTCTTGCCCCTATCTCTAACCTGCTTTTCAGCTACTTGAATTGACCCCTCTGGCTAGAATTTCTGCTAATCAGAGTAGAACAGGCTGCCTTTCCCCTTGAGTTTTACTGCTTAAAATTCTGACTATCAAGGATTTTTATCTAAATATTACTTCCCATTTCTTGTATTTTCTACTATGTATCACTGAGGGGACTGGAATTAGACTGAATTAATAAGCTTAACTCATAAATGTAGAACAAATACAAAACCGCACCATAAAAGAGAAAAAAGGCTAAATGAACCCAGATTCTGTTTCTTATCCACTTTAGCCTTATCATCCAATGATGTTGCATCCAAATGAATTCTCACCAAGCATCCATCACTGTCTACAGGCACAAAGTGGTATCAGAAGTGGGGGGGTGGGGTGGGGGGCACAGGCAGACATACAATTCTGCATGTTGCACCTACGTGTTGAAAGCACATATTGCCCCAAAAGACTCTTTCCTCATAGCAATAAGTGACTTTTCTTTAAAAGGTAATTATATGTGTGTCTAGCACAAAAGCAGGTTTGGGGTTGCCACGCTTTACTACGGCCTTTATTCAGCTCCCTCTCAAAAATTTAGAGCATGGGTTTGATTTTTCAAAGTGAATGCGAGACTCTAAAGCTACACATTCTGAAGGAATAAAATGAAGAGAAAAGTTATCCCCGTGCCTTGGATATGCGATGCATCATCCTAACAGTTCAGATGAATGAGACAAGGGAAGACCAAAGAGTAAACCACGGTGGCAAAAGGAGGCAAAGGGAGAAAGAATCAGAGTGGCATTGGGAAAAGAAAAGAAGGTAGAATAAAACCAGAAGGAGTCCTGCATGAACCAATGATGAGGGAAACAACCAACTCAATTCTCTGTTCCCCAGGGCAAAACAGCACACCAAGCTAAAGTGACTCTCAGATAGCAACATGGAATGTTCTTCCCTCAGCTCCAGTGCCTCATCAGAGTACTTCTGATGGACGGCCACAAAGTCTTTGGGATGGGCAGAGGGAAGACTTGCCCCCAATGGAGGCACAGTGACACATTAGAAGAAATAACCTTGGAACCATCAGCTTTCTATCATACTGACTTGGGGTGTTTCACCCTCAGAAATATGCAGAGGATACAGTCAAAATCAATGATGGCCCAGAAGGCATCCCTGCCTTCAGCAGAATTTGACCTCTTTGCTCAGACCTCTTCTCAGCAAAAAGGAAACTGAGTAATTTTATAGACAACATTCTAGAACTTAAAGAAGAAGAAAAAAAAAAGATAAGGTGCTCTCTCTTTCCAGTCAAAATTTCCACTTGTTCTTAGGTAATAACATTCGTTAAAAATATCATTCCCTCTAGTTGTTTTACATGGAAATGAAAGCCTTAAATCTTAAAAATAAGCATCAGCTCATCCCAGGGGACTAAAAGAAAGAGTGCCCTGACTATGAATGAGAGAGGATTCAGTATTCTCAGGTTATTTTATTCTCACTACAGAGCAAGACCTGTGTTTTCTATAAAAGTGATAGGCTATGGAGGAAGAGTTAGAGACCAGGAAAGGGAAAGTGGAAAATTGATACAAGGTGATTACCTTGAACTGATGTAAACCATATAGATGGAAGGTAGTATTTATAAGGCTAACTTCCAACTACTTTTGACAATGAATTGAGTTTGGCACATCATGTTCCAAATGTCTATTCTTGGGATCACAGTTTTGAACAGCAGCTTCGGAGATTCTGATTTGCTACCGGGAATGGTAATTTACCGAATGCCACACAGCGAAGTGTAGGAGGTTCTTTGAGAACCCATTCCATAAAAAAGTGTTGGCTTCATTTAAAATAGAAACATTGTGCTTTTGTCAAGCAAGCAAGTACTAAGTTCTTCACTAAGCTACACTGGCTAGTCCAGACACACTCAGTCCTATCTGGGGGAACAAATGGATTTAGGCCCTGAGAGGTTTCCTCCATTAAATGAGTGCTTTTCTTTTCTTCTCTTACCTGATAGTGCGCCTGGGCTTGCTGTGCGGAGTTCAAGGTGACATTGCAGAGCTTGCAGTACAGGGGCTTACAGAGCTCCTCCAGGGCAGAGTCTGGATCCCCTCCCTTCGGTAACTCTGCTTCCCCCGGCAGAGCCAAGGAAGCCTCCTGCCCAAAACTCTTCTGTGGCGGAAGCTGCAAGGTTCCTGTCGACCTGGTGGCCACTGACATAGGAAGAGACGATGAGGGTCGCGTAGGTGTAGGAGGCCCGGAGTGTTGCAAGAGGATCATTAGGTTGGAACGCCTTGGGCATAATCCAGTGCACAATGAGAAGTGCTCAGATCTGTAGCAACAAAAGAAAGAAGATTCACTTTCAAATGTGCCCTCAGACTTAGCAACACAACGTGTGAAGACCGCCCATCTGACCCCTTCTTTTCCTTCTCCAAACCCATCCTTAGGACATCCTTCTCATTCGTCTCACCTAACAGACCTTCTCTCGTAGTCCACGTTGACACAACTGCCCTTACACTGAGAAAGGCTTCATAGGTTTGGCTTTATTTTGGTTGGCCCATCTCCAACTGCTGTCCCTCCAGCCCCAGAACATTAATAGCTTTGCATCCATGGCTAATTAAATCTAAAACTCACGTGGCTGAATGGACATCAAAGGTCACCTCATCCAGACCCCTTCCCTCGGGCACACTTACACTCACCAACTGTTAGTGTTAACCATGCACAGGCAAAAACAGCATCAGCTACTAAGAATCTTCGCCATTGTCTCTTCTCCATCTAAACGAGTCTTTCTGTCCCAAATAGGGCCAAAAAGAATGAAATGAAAGAGTCGCATCTCTCAGGATGCTTAAAGCGGTTCCAGAACTAACTGAAAATTTCAAGGAGCTCTAGGAAAAACTAACCCAGAGTTGAAAGATGCAGGAAATAAATGAAAATGTTCCTTCTCATCAACTAATAGTATTGAACTAGTCAGGCCAGGGATTCTTTGCAGCAGAGATGGCAAACAGATGGCCCACAGGCCATACGCAGCCACAGACGGGCTACTTGGAACATACAATGTTCTGGTTTGCTTTCGTTTTTTAAATTGAATTAGTTGTCAACATTAAAAATTGAGAGATTTCTGACTTCTCTTGATAGAGGGAGGATCTGGCAATGCCTCGCACATGTGCCTCCGTGGGGATCGATGAGCTAGTTCTGAGAGAACAGCCCCCTGTCAGCAGAAGAAGGCCTACCTTCTCCGGGCCACCTCAGACCCTATTCAACCCGCTCCCTGCAGACCCTTGATTTTAGGACTCCACATTACTCAGCCTTAGACAGTATACATATGAGTCTCTTGCAAAGGAACAAGATTTTCTCTGCCTCTCGATGCAAATTATCTGTGGGCTCACATGCACACCAGCAGATACAAATTACCAAGTAAATGGGTAACAAGGTAACGGATCACTTGACCGTCAGTCCCAATGAAATGCCACCCCCGTCTTGAGGTTATTGCCTTTCTCCTCTTTATTAAAAAAGGCTAGCCCCTATTCTGGTTCCCTGAGAAAAGAGGCAAGATGTTCGACTCCCCCTTTCATCTTTATGCATGAACTCTCCTGCCTCCCACCCAGATGGCATCTTCTAACCATGAGTATCTCGAAATGAACCACAGGATACACTCTCAGTTCCCAAGATGCTAATTGACCCAAACTGAAATGCTTCTTTCAAAATCCACGATTCCCTCCTATCTTTCAACATTATTAAAACCTCTTCTCTTGGTCAATAGCTTGTGGCTATTTCAATCCGCTAAAATGTTCAGCTGAAATGTTCCACCCGCAATGGAAATGGGTACCTTTTTTAAAGCAATAAGAGATTTGCTGAAATGAACCAGGTACACTCTGAAGCACTCTCGAGTAATGGTTTTTATACTACATTCAGGGTCGGGGATGGGGGGCAGGGAAGCAGAGGAAACCTCTGCAATGGGAAAATAATGTAGTTATGATCACAGCATTAACTGATCATAATATTGAGGAAAACAATAATCTCATTTGACTCATAGCAGAAGTATGCTGCCCATATCTCTGAGAACAGGGTGGTAAAGAAATATAAATCTAGAACAATTAAAAAGTCAGGTTCTCTATAATCATGCAAATCCTCTCAATTCAACCAAGCCAACACACCCAGAAGGCAAAGGCTGATGTGAGCGTGGTGAAAGAGAAACTAAGGAGACAAAGAACACCTGACACACACAAAAGTTTAACTAATTATAATAATTAATAATGTTGAAGGGCCACATGTCACCTGTCCTAGGCCATATGGATGCAACACTGCTCCAAACGTGCTGTTAGTTCAGGAAAGAGAAGGAAAATGAAGGGGCAAAAATATCTGCATGAAAGATCTGAGCAATGGAAAGAGAAAAATCAACTGTCACCAATTGCTGAGACATGTCTGAACTTGTTTTTTGCCAGCTCACTCCGACTTGAGGAAATCCCGTGATGTGCCTCCCCATGTATAGTCCACAAGTTTCCATAAAAATAAAAGCCATTCTCAAAGCACAGGGGTACCAACGTGCACACACATACCCCATTTCAGTGGAGAGAGCCACTGAATTATCATTTTATCTGCATAAGCTGTAGAAAATAGCTAGATATTCAAAACTGATTTATTCTGGTAGATCTAGCAGTCAAAATAGTAATGCCAACAAAAAATCTATACATCACAATTATATTTTATATCACTTAGCTTACAACAAAAAATGACTTTAAACCAGCATAAAATATGAATCTACATAAATAAAAGCAAAGCTTCAAAGGATACATGAATGGTGGACTGCTTAATTAGTTCAGCACCTGCACAGATTAACTGGAGGTTGGTGTAAACAAATATTCCTCATCTTAAAAGCCATTCTACTAGATCCCTGAAATGGCATAAATGAAGGGTTGATGATGGTTAAGGAAGAGATTGCGGGGGGAATCAGAGCTTCAACGTGTACCCTGCTTAAGGAAACTTAAGTGCCAAAGCACATTTAATTGTCTTGATTGGACTGGGGCCTACTTTCCCATACAGTATCAAAGGCAATTACATTCTCATTTGGAGGCGAGAGAACGGAAGAAAGGAGCAGACCACCGGCCCCTCGTCTCCCACTGGGCATTCTGGCCAGGAGAGGGGAAGGCGGTGAGCATTACTCAGCGATCAGCAGAACACAGCGAGTAGGAATGAGGGGTGGGGAGGATCCGCGGAGACCAGGGTTATCATCTAAGGAAGAAGGCGAAAGAACGCAAGAACCTGGGAGGAGAAGAGGCCTGGGTGAACTGGCAAACGTTTGCCCATCTCGGCCCTGATGGCTTCTGATCCTCCGGAACGCTTTCCCCATTTGAGTCCCTACTCCCTCGAGTTCGGCATCGCCCCCAGCCACTTTGCATCCCGAAGATGAGTGTGCAGATGCACGCGCGCGCGCGAACACACCTCAAGCCCCGGAAGGATGCCCTCTCGGAAGATGGAATCCCCGACTCCCGCGGGGGCCGGGCAGCTGCGGGCAGACGCGGTCCAAAGGGTACACGTGAAAGGCGGATCCCAAACAAACGCACCGACGCAGCACAAGCCCCTCGCGTGCAGGGCAGGGGGCAGGGCAGCC